AAGGAAGGAAGGAAGGGTGCCCCCAAAACAGGCCTGATAAAACCACAACTGCCATTTTACCTTTTGGCAAACCCAGCAGGAAGAGAGGGAAGGAGGGTGCAACCGGGCGCCCCCCAAAACAGGCCCGACAGAACCACGATTGCCGCTAATCTTTTGGCAAACCCATGAGGGAAGCGAGAACCCCCCACCCACCCCCCCCAAAAAAACCCCACATTCCCCCATAAACAAAAACAAGGGAAAGTTCGATAGAGTGGGAACGGAAGTTTAAAAAAACCCAAAATGCAGGTCCTATGGATTTTTCTCTTTGGAAAACCGTCAAAAGTTTGGCTCTCTCTCCTTCCTTGGATGGATGGAGGGGGAAATAAAACGGGAGGAAATGGGAAATATGGGGGGGGGGGGAGGTTGATGGGGGGGGGGGGGAGGGGGCTAAGCTCCCCACAGCCCCCTGGCATCCTTGGGAAAGGAGGCCTTTCCCCATTCCCGATGCTAGAGCACCCCCTGGTGGCAGGAGGCGGCAAAGCGTTGCCCGGAGGACCTTGTGAACCGTATATTGGGCCAAATCCTCCCCCCTCCCATCCTCCAGCTCCTCCGAGAACCGCCAACCCCTCCTTATGGGTGGGAGGCGGAAGGCATCCTTCCTGCTCTCCACCCCCCCCCCCCCTCCCCCCCCCCTCCCCCCCCCCCCCCCCACACACACACCAACAGCTACCTCTGGCCAGACAAGGGTGCAGGGCGGGAGGACAACGGGGCCACGCACTGCACTGAAGAAGAGGAGGAGGAAGAGGAGGAAGGAGGGAGAAGGAGAAGGGCAGTTTAACCAATGGTCAGGCCAAAGCCGCACTGGAATTTGTTCTTGCGGTGATTCAGGAAGGCGCCCATCGCTAGCGTGAGGGGCAACGGAATCAGCTTCTTTTCCAAGACCGCCCCCACGATCCAGTTGCTGTCGATGGAGCCTGGAGACGAGAGAGAGAGGGAGGAATCGGATCAACGGCTAGGCAGAGAGAGAGAGAGAGAGACAGACAGAAAAACAGATAGGAGGATAAACGGATGGACGGACGGACGGACGGACAGACAGGGATGGCTGACTGGATGCCTAAAGGGATAGTCAGATAGGAGACGGACAGAGATGGATAAACAGAAAGAGATCAATGGATGAATGGAGAGGTGGGCAGATAGAAAGACACAGATAGAGGGATGGACGGACAGACAGACAGACAGACAAATGTGCGTTGGGCGTGGGCGTTTCTTTTAAGGGTCTCCCCTCTCTCCAATAGCCCAGCCTGACCGTTGTTAAAAGTGAGCCGGTTGCCCGGATTTTTTGATCATGTGAACCGCGGCCATCCTAAGCGCAAGGACCGGGTGGTAAAAGCCCCTTCGGCCGGGGCCATCGTTAACTTGGAACAGCCACAAAACAAACGGTCGTAAGCTGAGGACTGCCTGCAGTCACCGTTGCGTTTCGTTTCACTGAAGGGACAAAACACGCACACCCCGCCCGAATAAACCCATCCCACCGAGTTCCATACCTCTGAAAAGGAGGTTGGCTTTGGGGAGATCCAGCTGGTATCCAAAGGTTGCGCTGGTGTCTTGCATGCGGCTGCTGGCTTCGAATTCCACACCCACCTGCAACTGGAAAGCCGGACCACGGAGAAGACATGAGAGCCGGGTCCATCCGCGGCGCTTTGGGCCCCACTGCAGCCCTGCCCCATCCAACCCCCAAAATACACCCTCTGCTGAGTTTCAATTACAGGTTACTGGAGCCCTGGAAGGAAGGGAAACCACGATACGATAGGGTGGGAGTGTCAAACTCAAGGCTCGTGGGGTGCTTAGATCTGGCCCGCCCTGGACACAGTGAAGGACCAGCTCGCAATGTCTCTGCCAATGAAAATGGAATGTCAACTAAAAAGATACTTCTTTGATCTTTTTAGCTGCCAGCAGAAAGGGAGTGGGAGAAAAGCAGTGCATTCCTTAAATGCCTCAGATAATCGCCTTGGCAGCCGAAGCTGAGGGCACGCAAGATTATTACTGGAGAGCATGATTGATGACTCTTGGCTATGGAGGTGTCCCATTGGAGAATATACATCCAGGCGGGGGGTGGGGGGAAGACCAGGGTCAAGGGGGAAATGAATGATGTATTTTAGTGTCGTCTGCACCCAGGAAACGCCAACATGGCCGCTCCTAATAAATCAATTTTATTTTCTCTGAGAGATGCGGCTAGAGACTTATGATTTGAATGGGGGTGGATTTGTCGGAGTCCCGACACGGAGCTTGGGAGTGCCACCCGTGGCCCCCTCGAACTCTGTTTTCGCTGGTAGAGGGGTTGCAGGAGGCCATTGCAGCTGAAATGGAGCTTGGGAGCCCGTATTTGCTGGCCGAGTGCTCAAACCACCATGGGCGCCCCGATACGAGTGACGTCAAGCTCGCCACGCCCCCTGGGCCCCCCTCCAATATCAAACACAACCCTAATGTGGCCCTCAAGGAAATCCAGTTTGACACCCCTGCTATAGGGCACTGCATGCCAAAACAACTACAGCCCTCTCTAAGTGGTTTAGAGAGTTAGCATAACTGCCCCCAACAATCTGGGTCCTCATTTGACCGACTTCAGAAGGCTGGAAGGCTGAGTTAACCCTGAGCCGGTGAAAATCGAACTGTTGGCAGTCAGCAGAGTTAGCCTGAAGTACTGCATTCTTACTACTGCGCCACCACGGCTCTTACAGATGAATCTGTACTAGGAAATGGATTGATTAGGACACCAGAGTGCCAACATTACATTTAATTGACCATTTTTTCCTCCTTTTTTGTACACTATCCCCACCCCCCACCCCACTTCCTACAGCTCTTTTAAAAGCAAGCTGCACCTTATCCTGAGATCGTTCCATTCTGCAATCCCCAGGGGAGAAGGACGCAGCTGCTTTAAAGAGCGGGACTCCACCTCGTTCTGCGCGTCGGCTCCCAAAAGCCACTCACCTGGTCGCTGGCTTTGTGGTAATATGTGGCATGGGCTCCAGCCTGTCCTACTGTCAGCGTCGCGATCCAGTTTGGTGCTGTGGAGGATGGGAAAGGTTTTCCTTGGAGGACCAAGATCTGCCTGAATTTGCCCAACTTGGCCGGGCAAGTTGCTCTAGACCAGGGGGGTCTCCAAACCTGGCAACTTTTAAGACTTGTGGACTTCAACTCCCAGAATTCTCCAGCCAGCATAGCTCCTTCCTTCCCTTCCTCCCTCCCTTCCTTTTCTCCTTCCTTCCTTCCCTTCCTCCCCTTCCCTCCCTCCCTCTCTTCCTTTTCACCTTCTTCCTTCCTTCCCT